CCAATCACCTGAAGAAGTCTGGAACGTACAACAGCCGAAATGTTATGAATATGGCAATGAAGATGTGGATAACAGTCTGAATAATATAAATAATGTAAGTAATCATAATACCTCATCTCAGAGATATAGAGGTCGAAACGTTGTGAATATAGCAATGAAGATGAGGATAACAGTCCGAATAATGTAAATAATGTAAGTAATCATAATACCTCATTTCAGAGATATAGAGGTCGAAACATTGTGAATATAGCAATGAAGATGAGGATAATAGTCTGAATAATATAAATAATGTAAGTAATCATAATACCTCATCTCAGAGATATAGACAGATAGAGAGATGGATATGAACATAAATAGAGAGAGAAATAGACTGATCGATATGAATAGAATACTTAAAATGGAATAAAGGGTTCGGTTCAAATTCCAATCATCTAAAGAAGCGTACAACGGCCGAAGTGTTATGAATATGACAATGAAGATGATGATAACAGTCCGAATAATGTAAATAAGTTTTTTTAGTTATTCCAAAGCAATTGGAAAGTCATATTTTTAAATAGCCTCATCAGATCGAGACTATTATATGGATGGTAGGAATGGCGCCAAACCAGTTTAGATATATCTAAACTCTATACAAACGCTTTTTAAGATTAATGGTCAAAAATGGCTTTCAGCGAGGGAAGCCTGTGGATCTTGACGAAGACCATCCTTTTTCGAAACTTGTGAACTGGCGCTACAAAATCACAAAGAACAACAAACAGAAACCACATCATTTGAGGACTTTTCAACAGTACCAACAACTAAAACGGCTAGCACATGGAACTCTGAGATAAAATAATGGCATAATAAAGATATTGGCGTCCCATTTAAAAAAAAAAAAAATGGTTTGGAACGCCCCCCCCCAAAAAAAATCAATTCTGGAAAGAGCGTTAATATCTACCAGACTTGACACCTATACTCCAGAAAAATTGTTTTAAGAGTAAGATTTTATAAATTTCAACTGACCAGAAGACTAGCTGCTCGCTTAATAAATGCCGAATGTTTCCTTATAAGGAAACTGCTATTATTACCATTAACATTTCAGATTCTCTTTGACATATTCAAATTGCCAGCATCCTTACTGTATTCTTTTGGGACCATTTTTAAGTAAAACTGATGAATTTTTTATATCTGTATTTGACCGCGTTCACTGAAACTGTAGAGCCAAACAGCGTATAAGGTGGGACAAAAGTACATTGTAAATATTTTATCATTGATATTAAACGAACGTAAGTTTGTGAAAACATTAATTCATATCTTTACATGTAGAAAATTGTAGCAATATCAACAACAAAAAGGAAAGATCTGAGAATAAAAATAAAAAAAAAGCCTCGTTTAATTCCCCCTTATTTGTCTTGCTTCGAAATGACGAGTTGACAGCTATGACAACAGACCTTTCATATCCAATAAAGAAAGTCCTTTTACGCTCAAAGGAAGCCGCGTTTTGTGGCCAACGAAGGAATGCATGCAGATTTTGAAAGGTGTATTCAGTCATCTTTGATGTGAGCGTAACGTAAGGGTTACTGGTGCAGAAAGTAAAAGAAATAAGCGGATTTCAAATCCGCACCCCGTCTGTTTTTATTCACTAATTCCCTTGTGAGAGGCCTGAGTTTATTTCTTATTTTTCCCTTTCAGATGTGTGCTAAATAAAAATGCAAACTCTGCTCTCTAGCTGTTGGGTGGCATCCCTTCTACGAAGAGGACTATTCAAAAACGTGGAGAAGCTAACAGGAAACTACACCACTACTTTTTCTAAGAAATTATGATGGTTTGGTTTGGTTTGGTTGTTTAACGACATTCCAACCTTAGTGGTCACTTTACACCGAAAGTGATTTTGAGTGACTTTAAAAGAATCTTAAGTTAAATGTGTTGCTTGGTTTGAGTAGGCATCTTGAAGTAAGCAGTTTCATGGAGGTATATATCTTGATATATTTGTGTTTATTTCAGTCTTTTCTAGATTTTGTTATAGAGACCAGTTTCTCTTATTGTTATAGTGGAACACGCCTATTCTATAGACTCTCCCACCTATAACACGTAGGAGTAGTAATAGTAACCAGAAGTAGCTGAGGGAGGTGGTCAGTCAGTCGATGCCGGACGACCGTTAGTTGGATATTAAAGTATCAGCCACCACAACTAGATTTCTCTGCGTTATTACCTATTATATCAAGTTCCTAACGTTTTGTACATCAACCTATTTTGGACCGACTTAGTACAAATACAAGCCTCCTCTGTGAAACCACTACATAACAATTACATATTCAAGTATTTTTACTGGGAGGAATACTTCTTTCAGGCTTGTTTCTTTGTAGTACTTTTCACGAGTTTGCCTCAAATCTAAACATTTTGTCAAAATGTGACATATTGTATAAGCCTCTTGGCATGGTATACATATATATATATACAGAGAGAGTCATAAATAATTCACTTTTTTTATTTTAAATTTCGTTAAAAATAAGTACAATTACCTTTTATATACTTGTGTAACGCACGATGTTTATTTTAAATACAGCTATTCTTTTTGATTACAGTAAATGGATATATAGCTTGGTCAACAGCATAGCCAGGGCCAGCAGTACAGAGACTAATTTTAAATCTCATGTATGATGTGACCCTCTTAAAATTAACTTCAAAATTAGGTTTTCAAAAGTCGCATGATACGCGAGGATAGACGGTATATAATGTTTTCCTTGAGTATAAATCTGTGTGTATTTAATGTGTATACGGTGGGATGCTGCAAAGTTCTCCATCCGAACCACACCCGAAAATTTAACCAACAACAAGATCATTCCCCCCCCTATCTTAGAAGTTAAACAGTAGGTCATGTCTCGAAAAATCATTGTTTTTCTCAAAAAATTGTTACTGCAATATTCACTCACAAAGAAATTATTATAATCCAAAATGTTTCAGCTTTAAATAACACAAAACGGTTGATAAACCGTAAAAAAATTATAATCGACTAACCTCCCCATTCTTTCTCTGTCCGCGACCCAGTTTATTACCTCTTCGAATTTGAATTTACTGTTTTACACTCTTGGTCAAACATTTACATTTTCCACCATTTTTGAAATGTTTCCTCCATTTTGTTTTGTAAGTTTGATCGACCCAGAATCAAAAAAACAACATTAACAACAGCTGCACGGTTAAAATGTTTCAGTCGTGATTTTATTTTTCTCGAAAATCAGTCGCTCGTAGCGAGAAGCTCTTTTTGCTTTACTTTTCTAGTCACACTTCCGAAAAAAAAAAACTAGTTCGGATCGATACATCAACACTGCAGTCCACGGCTAGAAATCGACCTCTCAGCGTTGAAGTAATGGTACCTTTTACTCGGTAGAAGGTACGCGTGTTTGAGTAGACGTCCAGTTTTTTGAAACGGTGAAATTAATGTCTGCAAGCACAGTGACCGTAAGTCATTCTAAAAGAAAGGTTCCCCACCCGACAGGAATAAAGCATGTAATATATATATATATATATATATATATATATATATACTTCGTTAGAACGAAAGAAAAGAGTACTGAACTGTTACGTGATATCTGCCCTCCTATATAACAGTGAATGCCGAGGCAGAGTAATGGTTAGCAAGCTTGTCTCGCTAACATAATTACGAATGAGTAGTGAGTTCGATCCTCACTGGGTGTCTCATACTTTCGGCCTTGTGTCACATCTGAGCTACGCTTGGAAAATCACTATAACAGTGTATGCTGGGGTACCCCGAGGCAGTGTAATGGTTAGCAAGCTTGTCTCGCAAACACAATTACGAATGAGTAGTGAGTTCGATCCTCACTGGGTGCCCCTACTTGTGCCACATCTAAGGTAAGCTTGGGTCACCTCGAGACGGTGTAATGGTTAGCAAGCTTGTCTCACTAGAACAATTACGACTGGATAGTGAGTTTGATCCTCACTGGGTGCTCCATACTATCGGCCTTGTGCCACATCTGAGCTACGCTTGATAAATCACTATAACAGTGAATGCTGGAGTACCCCGATGCCGTGTAATGGTTAGCAAGCCTGTCTCGCTAACATAATTACGAATGAGTTGTGAGTTCGCTTGGAAAATCTGATACTCACAGGGCAGATTAAGTGGCAGAAAAAAGCATCGCGTAACATATTTGAGTTTGAGTAAATGGATGGCAGAACAGTTTGGGAGAAATAAGAGACATAGCTACAAGGGGCAGGAAGATGTGGAGGGCCGTGATCACTTACTTTCAAAGTAAGGGTGCATTAAAAAACAGGTAGCCATCCCAACACAGCAAGGCTAAATTATGCTATTTATTAAACGTTGGGACATAAACGCTGATTTCGATTTTTAGGCCTGTAGACATTAATTTCATTATTTACACTAGTTAGATTTGGGTTATTATCCTCATCTTTGTTATTGTTATCATGTCTCGGCCGTCATGCCCTCTGAACGCTGTGATGGCTACAATAAAGATGAGGATGTTAGTCTGAATGTAAATAGCGCTAATAAGAATAACTCTGAATAAATCCAGACAAATTAATTTCATTGTTTGGAAAAAAAAAAGAAAAGAAAAAAAAAAAAAGTAATGTCTTCTCAAATACGTGTACGACTTAAATATAGCTTTTCTAGTAATATTTTTCTAGTAACAACGGTTAAAAATAATATCGATCTTAGATACTAAGTAGCAGTTTAGTAAGCTTAGCTTTGTTCTTTATTGATTCGTTTTTTACGGCTTATCGATCCATTGCAGGCTATTTAAATCCAGAAAATATTTTCAGAATGTAAAAATTATTATTATTACCTTATTTATTTATTTTTAGATGATAATGATTTAGTAATAAAGATCTTACTAATTAACCCATAGCTGGGGATGAAGAGGTGGAGTCATACTTTTCCCAAGGGTATTTGCCCGTAAGTGAATATAACGAACCCAACTGGCATTAGAACTCGATTCTCCAATTAACAATTCCGCGCCTTTATCCATTACACCATCAGCACATCCAAGCTTACAACACCTGGTATCCCCAAGCGGTCACCCGTCTAGATACTGACCAGGTTCGACGTTGCTTAACGTCGATGATCTTACAGGAACTGATATTTCAACATGATATGGCCGTAAGTCAATCCTAAGCAGGGAGCAAAGGATAAACGTCTGCTCCTGTTCAAAAGACCGAAGAGGAGTGTGAACCGGGCGATAGGCGAACTTATTTAGTCCTATTGAGGGGGAAAAATAAATAGTAAATAAAATTTCAGGGTTCAGGCGGATACATTAGAAGTATAGAGTTGAATTAGATATCTAAAGGAATCGGGAACCTGATCCTAAAGAGGAAACAAGGGATAAACCTCTGCTCGTGTTCAAAAAATCAGGGAGGCGCGTAAACCGGGCGATAGGCGAACCTATCTACTCCTATTGCGGAAGAAAAAAAGTAAATATATAGTAAATAAAATTAAAATTTCAGAGTTTTTTTTTTTTTTTTTTTTTTTTTGGTAATTTATCCACGCACGCATGGACTCTTCCAGCTATAACTAGGAGCAGGTATTGCCTTTTGGAGGGTGAAGTTTCCAGCAGTCAGCTCTGACAGTCGGACCAAACATTCTTTCTGTAACACTCTTGTTTGTATTACTGTTTCTGTTAATATATTTGTTTAACTCAATTCCTCTCTTGTGTCTTTTTTTCTGGCCCTAACAAGGTCACAACAGAGTTTTAGGAGACGTTAGAAGTACAGTTGAAGGAACCGGTAACCTTATGCTAAAGAGAACACAAGAGATAAACGTCTGCTCCTGTACAAAAGATAAAAAGGAGTGTGAACCGGGTGATAGGCGAACCTATCTAGTCCTATTGAGGGGAAAAAATAAATAATAATTTTCAGGAATCAGGCGGATACGTTAGAAGTATCGAGTTGAATTAGATATCAGAAGGAATCGGGAACCTTATCCTAAACAGGAAACAAGGGATAAACCTCTGCTCGTGTTCAAAAAATCAGTGAGGACCGTAAACCGGGCGATAGGCGAACCTATCTACTCCTATTGCGGAAACAAAAAAGGTAAATAAATAGTAAATAAAATTTCAGTATTTTAGGCGACGTTAGCAGTATAGTGTTGAATCTTTAGAAGGAACCGGAAACCCTATCCTGAACAGGAAACAAGGGATAAACCTCTACTCCGGTTAAAAAGATCTGGGACTTACGCTGTGAACGTTGATAATCCATCTCTTTTTTTAAAGGTACTGGTATATACCAAGACAGACTGGGCTGTATAGGCTTCGTTGGCAACCAGTCTAGAAGGAAAACTCTGATTTCAAGCCAGTGTGGAGAAGATCAATACTAGCTAGCCCAATATGCACCACTGCTGTTATGGCTGCATTACATTTATTACGACCCTGAGAGGTAGGGGACTCGTGTCGTATAATAGTCTGCGTGGATGTTTTATGCGGGTATGTCAGCGTCTGTCTAAATAACATACCGCGAAGTCTTTCTGCTTTTCACATCTTTAGTTTTACGTTTTGTTTTTGCGCGACGCTTTCTAATGTATTTTTTAATACATATGTTTGCGTTTCGTATCATGTGCATCTACACTCGTTCTTTGCGAAATGAAGCAAACAAAATGATGGTGGTATTTTTCCTTCATATTTTTTTTTGAGTCGGTCTTCTGCCACCCAGGTCGTATGGATGTATGGCTTGGGTGACTAAGAGATAAACAGATTTGATTTTCTATGTAAATATTTGTTCAAAAAAAAAAAAAAAAAAAAAAAAAAGAAGTTCCCTGAGGTTCTTTCTTATCAGAAATTCATTTTTCTTTTTATATAATCTTATTTTATTTCTTCATTATTTCTTCTCCAAAAAACGGCTCCTAACTTGTGCGAATTGGTAAACGAAACCGTATATCGTTTTACGACATTTATATCTTTCCACTCGGGTTGAATCGGATTTCTCCGCCACCTTCCGTAAGCAAAGGACATATCGGTGACGACGTTACTCTCGTTTGTGTGCGTGTTTAACTGCGCGCGGGAATTGTTGGAGTTTGGCCTGGTGTGTTAGTTTTTTTTTTATTTTTATATTATTTTTATTTTTATATTATTTTTATTTCTATATTATTTTTATTTTTATTTTATTTTATATTATTTTTATTTTTATATTATTTTTTTTTTATATTATTTTATTTTATTTTTATTTTTATTATTTTTTATTTTTTTATTTTTATTTTTATATTATTTTTATTTTTATATTATTTTTATTTTATTTTTATTTTATATTATTTTATTTTTACATTATTTTTTTTATTTTTTTATTTTATATTATTTTTATTTTTACATTATTTTTATATTATTTTTATTTTTTATATTTTGTGGAGGAACTGTCAAGTTTTGGTTGGTGGTAACCGGTTTTTATGAATCTGATAATTCCAAATGTTATGATGGCATTATACATGACCCAAGGTCACCGGTAATGCTGCCTTAATCAACAAGTACTTATTCTGTTAAATGGACCCTAAAGGGATCTTAACATTCATCTATGAACTATCTGTAGACACCATGATAACTTTAGATTTTCAGATCGGAACTCAAAGTAATTTCCAACGGAATTTCTAGTTAATGAAATACATATCTTCACAGAACGCCGAGTCTTCGCCCGCCATAATTCACCTCCGAATATATCTTTATGAAACACATCAACGACTAGAAACAGTTAAGAGAAAGCCAGTGAAATATAGTTTTCTCTTTGAAAAGAAAAGAAAAATATAGTTGAATCCTTTCTGAAGAGACTGATTACGCTTGAAATTATTTTGGTAATAATTTTAAAGGAATTGTTTAAGTGTAGAGAGTTTGTCCAGAAAAGATTCAAGATAATGAGTAGAGGCGGGTGGAGAGAAATACCGAGGATAATATCACGTTAATCCTCTTCAGATTTTGCTAAGATTTACTTCAGCGTTATTTCGAGTTCACTGAATAGTATTTCATTACCAACCGAGTAACTCTACAGGAGAGTGACTGTTCACCCTTGCCCTCCCCTCACAGATCAGTTTTCAAGATATTGACAATAGTTGATTACTTTTAGGACAAACGGGTTTTTGTTTTGTATCCTAGCCTATTGTTTTCCTGGTGTGTGTGTCTGTTTGTGGGTGTGTGTACATTTTTTTTTTTTTTTTTAGTTGTGTGTGTAGCTGCTTTTTTCTTTTTGTTGTGTGTGGGGTAGCTTTTTAGTTCGTTGTTTTTTTTTGTGTGTGGGGAGGTGTTTTTGTACGTATGTACAAAAAACACATCCCCATGTGTATATGTGCGTTTGTTTCTGTTGTGCGTGCAGTTTTTGTGTATGTGTGTGTGTGTGTGCGCGCGCGCAGTTGTTTTGTTACGATTTTCTAAGCACAGCTTAGATGTAGCACAAGGCCGAAAGTAGGGGCACCCAGTGAGGATCGAACTCACTATTCGGTCATAACTGTTTTAGCGAGACAAGCTTGCTAACCATTACACCACACTGAGGTTACCTAAACTGTTGTTTGGTTATCTGTGTGTGGCTATTTTTTCTTTTCTTTCCTTTTTTTTTTTTTTTTTTGGTACGTTGTTGTTTTTCGGTAAATTTATGTGTAGAAATTCTTTCTCATTCAAATCAAGCAAAATCATTTTATACAAATAAAACATTTGTCAACAATAAAAAGAACGAGAATAATTCTCAATGTTTTTTTTTCTTTTACAAGATTCAGCAATAGAATGATCGACGTGTCTAAGTCGACACTTTCATATGAGAACTGATGCTATGTATTCGTCATAAACCGTTTTTGCAATAGGATTTTTAGCTTTTTTTAAAAGGCAATTAATTTCTCTTACATTATCTGAGGATCATGTTTAAATTATTGAAAGATATATATATATATATATATATATATATATATTACTTATTGGAAATACAGAGAGTAAAAGAAATAATTCAGGGGAAACTATATCGAATTCAAACAAAAACACTTCCAGTTTATGTAACAAGTAAAACAAAGATGGCGTAATTTGATCGATCAAGCTTTTAATTTCTTGTTTTGTTTCATAAAAAAAGCTGCATTAAATATTTAACCGTTTCGTTCCACTTCGTACAAACTTTAAAGTCTCCCCGATAACAATCCAGCTGTAGATTTCTATTTTTCATGCTTCGTTCAAAATTTGGGTCGAAATTAACCCCAAAGCAGGGTTTACTTCAGTGAGAATTTTTAGATAAGATCTCTGTTGTTAAAACTAGTTCAGAAGGAGGCTTAAGAAAGCAACAAGACGCTCCCTTATAAGGAGTTAGAAATTTAAGGGGGGGGGGGAATTCCGCGGACGGAAAAAAAAGGAGAAAATTTTTTTTTCTTTTTCTGAATTTGACTGCTAGTATTAAGTTGTTGCAAAAATTAACCTTCTTTTTTAACAAGGTTTCTTTCATAGAGGAAACTAAAAAACGAAGTTGGTTTATATGATATTGTGTAAATTTGGTTAACGGAATAAAAATGTTATCATTAAAATTTAGATTTCTCCGACCTTATAAACAAGATTTTTATTTCGCGAAAAACAAAAAAAAAACAACAAAAAAAAGTTGTTCCAATTTAATTTCTTTTTGTTTTAGTTTACATAGATTATTTAAAATGGTTGCCTTTGACAGGCCTTTTGCAATCGGTGATTGATTAAGATGTCGTTTGGGGTCCCTGTAATAAACGATTCTTTTCGCTTATGTGACAACGATCATAGTTTGAATGTCGTCAGTTGGACGTAATTGGAATTTGATAAAAGATTAGAAATTTGACGTTTTATATAGACACACACGCATATACATCTGAGGTATGTAAATGTTTATACATGATTCAGTTTCGAAAATCTAACAAAATAATTATACATTGAACTTGAAGCCATTATTATTAGAGTTTTGCCCATCATATGATAAAATTATTAAACAGTATTTATTATTGTCTATTTACAAGAATAATTTTATATTTACAACATTCTAAAAGCTAATACAATTGTATTAAAACTAATGCAATATTTGTAATTTACCAATTTATAAAGAAATGAAGATGAAAACGGATATGAGTATAGACATGAGTTGCAGGAGATTCCGAAGTCGTCTAGAGGCCACGGTCGAAGCCAATGGTGATCTTATTGTC